TTTTTTTTTTTTTTTTTTTTTGTCGCTAAGTACTGAAATTTATTTGGAGTTGTTTCCGCGTTTGGGCTATTGTTATAAAGCAAGCTATGCTGAACATCTCTGTATGAGTCTTTATGTGGCCATATTTCTATTTCCTTTGGGTAGATAGTGATGAATAGAATTGCAGGATATATGATAGATAGGTTGAACCTTTTAAGAAACTGACAGTTTTCCAAAGTGGTTATACTGTTTTAAATTTCTATTGGCAATATGTTAGAGTTCTGTTTCTGCCACTTTCTTGACAATCTTGGTATGGTCAGTCTTTTTAAGTTTAGACATTGTAGTGGCTGTGTTGTGGTATCTCTTAGCAGTTTTAATTTACATTTCTTTGCAGACTGATAATGTGAGCCTCTTTTCTCCCACTTATTGGCCATTTGTATATCTTCCTTTGTGAAATGATGGCTTAATTTTGTTTTTTTTTTTTTGCAGTTTTTGGTCAGGGCTGGGTTTGAACCCACCACCTCTGGCATATGGGGCCAGTGCCCTACTCCTTTGAGCCACAGGCACTGCCCCATGACTGTTTAAATTTTTAATACATTTTAGTCTCACTTTGTCACGTTTGGTAGAATTCTGTGGCGTCATAGCTCATAGAAACCTCAAACTCTTGGGCTCAGGCGATCCTCTTGCCTCAGCCAGCTGAGTAGCTGGGACTAGAGGTGCCCACCACAACACCCAACTAGTTTTTTCTGCTTTTAGTAGAGATGAGATCTTGCTCTAGCTCAGGCTGGTCTCGAACTCCTGAACTCAAGCAATTCACCTGTCTCAGCTTCCCAGAGTGCTAGTATTATAGGTACAAGCTACTGTGCCTTGCCCCAGAATTCTTTATTTATATATATATATATATATTTTAATATAAGTCCTTTTTTTTTTAATATAAGTCCTTTGGCAGATATATGCATTGGGAATATTTTCTCCCACTCTGTGGTTTGCCATTTCATTTTCTTAATGAAATCTTTCAAAGAATAGAAATTTATAATTTTGTGGGAGTCCTTTTATATCATTTTTTTCTTTTATGGGTCATTGTTTTTGTGTCTCCTGTAAGAAATCTATGCCTATTCCAAGATCATGAAATTTTCTTTTAGAAGGTTATATGGGATATGATTCATTTTCAATTAATTTTATGTATATTTTTAATAAGGATTGAGGTTTTTCCCATATGGATGTCCAGTTGATCCAGTATCATTTGTTGAGAGGACTTTTTTTCTCAGCAGATTACCTTGGCTTCCTTGTTGAAAGTTTTTTTACCACATATGTGTGGATCTATTTCTGCTTTCTGCTCAAACTATGGCTCACAGGCCAAATTGTCTTCTATTGTAGAGCCTTGTGCCAAATATGATTTTTACATTTTTAAAGGTTAAAAAACAAAAGCAAAGAAAAATATACAATAGAGACCTTATGTGGCTTGCAAAGCCTATGATGGTTACCATCAAGCTCTTATATAAAACGTTTGCCAACTCCTGATCTTTACATCCATCCATTGACCAATAACATTTCTCTGATGGCTAACAGTGTTGAGCATCTTTTCATGGCCTTGTTGGCCATTTGTGTACCTCCGCTTTCTTAGTAAGTATAGTTTGGGTAGTATGTTTTGAAACTAGGAAGCATGAATTCATTACCTATGTTTTTTTTTTTTTTTCAAAATTGTTTTGGTTATTCTATATCCTTTGCGTTTCCATCTAAATTTAGAATAAGTTTGATGATTTTTTTTTTTTTAAAACAAGAGTTTCACTTTGTTGCCTTAGGTAGAGTGCCATGGCATCACAGCTCACAGCAACCTCAAGCTCTTGGGCTTAAGCTATTCTCTTGCCTCAACCTCCCAAGTAGCTGGAACTATAGGTGCCTGCCACGGCACCCAGCTATTTTTCTTATTGTTGTTATAGTTGTTATTGTTGTTTAGCAGGCCCAGGCCAGGTTTGAACCCACCAACCCCGGTGTATGTGGCCAGTGCCTTAACCACTGAGCTACAGGCACCAAACCTGATGATTTCTTTTAAAAAACTCCATGAAATTTTGATTGGGATTGTTGTACTCTGGATCAATTTGGAGAGACTTGATATGTTAATATTTAATGAGTGTTCCAATCCATGAATATGGCATCTCCATTTATTTAGTTTTTTTCAGTTTATCTTAATATGGCTTTCAGAGCATAAGTCTTTCACACATATTTTGTTAAATTTATCCCTACTTCATATTTTTTGTAAAGAGTAGGTATTTTTTTTTTTTTTTTGAGACAGAGTCCACTCTGTCGCACTGGGCCTGCCATGCATCATCATACCTTATAACAACCTCAAACGATCCTCCTGCCTCAGCCTCCTGAGTTGCTGGAACTACAGGCACGTGCCATGATGTCTGCTAGTTTTTCTATTTTTAGTAGTGGTGAGATCTTGCTCTGGCTCAGGCTGGTCTGGAACTCCTAAGCTTAAGCAATCCCTTCACCTGATCCTCCCAGAGTGCTAGGATTACAGGTGTGAGTCACCACACCTGCCCAATGTAAAGAGTATTTTTAAAATTTCATTTTTAGTTTGTTGCTAGTGACAAAAATATAGTTGACTTTTTAATATTAACATTGTACCCTGTATGCTTGTTGAATCCCTTATCAATGCCCATAGATTTTGTGTCTTCTCCTTAGGATAGCCTACATAGATGATTGTGGGTTTGCAAATAAAAAGACAGTCTTTCTATTTTTTATTTCTTTTTTCTTAACTTTTTGAACTGGTTAAGATCTCTAATATAATGTTGAACAAAAGTGGTGAAAGCGCACACTCTTGTCTTGTTCCTAATGTTAAGAGTCCAACTCTTTTACCATGAATTAGGTTAGCCTTTATCAGCCTTTATCAGTTGTTCTCTTGTGTTCTTAGTTTCCTGATAGATTTTTCCATGATTGTTAAATTTTGTCAAATATCTTTTTTCCATGTCTTATGTATGAGAGGATTGTCGATTTTTCTTCTTTATTCTGTTAACATGGTGAAGCATATTAATGTTTCCAATAAGAAACCTACCATGGCTCGGTGCCTATGGCTCAAGTGGCTAAGGCGCCAGCCACATACACCTAAGGTGGTGGGTTAGAATCCCCAGCCCAGGCCTGCCAAACAACGATGGCTGCAACTAAAAAATGGCCGGGCGTTGTGGCGGGCGCCTGTGGTCCCAGCTACTTGGGAGGCTGAGGCAGGAGACTCGCTTGAGCCCAGGAGTTGGGGGTAGCTATGAGCTGTGATGCCATAGCACTCTACCCAGGGGGATAGCTTGAGGCTCCGTCTCAAAAAAAAAAAAAAAAGAAAAAGAAACCTACCACTTTGTCAAGATATATTATCTTCTGGAAATAGTACTGAATTCGATGTGCTAATAACTTGTTAAGCATTTTCATTTCTGTGTTCATGAAGGCTTTTGGTCTGTATATTTCTTTTGTTGAGGGCAACATAATGAGACTTTGTCTCAAAAAAAAGATTTTTTTTCTTTTTTAGTGATTGGATAATAATATGCCTTAGTTTGATTTTCTTTCTCCCTCCAGAAGGAAAAGTGGGACAATTATACATTTAGGTTTATTATCTATTTCAATTTTTTTTTGTTGTTGTTGTTAAATTCTTTCATCTTTGTTAGGGACTCCGATTATACATATGCTAGACCGCTTGATATTGTTCAAATATCACTGAGAATGTTTCTTTTTTTCTCCCTGTTCTTTTTTCCTCTCTGTGTTTCAGTTTGAATAGTTTCTCTTGTTCTATCTCCAATAACTGATTTTTTCTTCCTTAGTGTCTAATTGCTTTGACTCACATTTGGGTAACTTTTTATTTTAGAAATTGTATTTTTTATCTCCTAAAGTTGGGTTTAGTTTTTCAAAAAACATGTTTTCTTTCCCTTATAATGTTCCTGTTTTTCTTTAAATTCTTGAACATTTTGGACTTAGTTATGACTTTTAAAATATCTTTTACTACTTTGGTCATGTCTGTCATTTCTAGAGACCTAGAAATTGACTGGCATTTTTCTGAAAATTCTTGAACATGTTGGACTTATTTAAATTTCTTTAAATTTTTCTTACGTTCTTGAACATGTTGGACTTATTTGATTTTTTTCAATGTCTTTTACTACTTTTGTCACTTCTGTCATTTTTAGAGACCTAGAAATTGACTGGCATTTTTCCTGATTATTGGTCACATTTCTTTGTTTCTTTGCATGTTTAGTAATATTTGATTGGATGCTGAACATTGTAAATGTTTTGGATAGGAACATTGTTGAGTGTGATTTTGTGATCTTTAAAAAATGTTGGGCTTGGCTCAGCACCTGTTATTCAGTGGTTAGGGCGCCGGTCACATACACCGGGGCTGGCGGGTTCCAGCCCAGGCCAGGCCAGCTAAACAACAATGACAACTGCAACATAACCGGGCGTTGTGGTGGTCCCAGATGTTGTGGCGCCTGTAGTCCCAGCTACCGGGGAGGCTGAGGCAAGAGAATCGCTTAAGCCCAAGAGTTTGGGGTTACTGTGAGATGTGATGCCATGACACTCTACTAGGGTAACATAGTAAGACTCTGTCTTAAAAAAAGAAAAAGTTGGGCTTTTTTTCTATTGGTAGTTGCTTGTTTATCAGCTTGATCCTATTAACCTTTTCTTGCATAGAAAGGTTGTCAGGTGTGGTGGCTCATGCCCGTATTCCCAGCACCTCAGGAGACTAAGGCAGGAGAATCCCCTTAGCTAAAGAGTTTGAGGCCCCAGCAAGTTCTTATTAAGATCATACCATGGCACTCCAGCCTGAGTGACATCTCTAAAAATAAATTTAAATGAATAAATAAATAAAATAAAAAATAATGTTAAAGTAGTCTTTAAGGCTAATTTATCTACTGAGGCCATACCAAATTGTGGTCTGCTAAATGTTTCAGTCTGTGTGTTCTGGTTGGTTAGAGCTTTAATGTTTTTCCCAATACTAAGTGAAATTTTGGAATTTTTCAGTTTCCTGATCATTTTTTGCCCACTCTTGTGGAATTATACCTTACTTATGTGTATGTTAGTATTCAGCAGAAACTCCAGAGCAGCCAGGACCACAGGCGCCTGCCACAACGCCGGGTATTTTTTGTTTGCAGTTTGGCCCGGGCTGGGTTCGAGAACCTGCCACTTTCAGTACTTGGGGCTGGCACCCTACTCACTGAGCCACAGGCACCACCGAATAATACTTTTTTTTTTTTGCAGCTTTTGGCGGGGGCTGGGTTTGAAGCCGCCACCTCTGGTATATGGGGCCAGCGCCCTACTCCTTTGAGCCACAGGCACCGCCCTGGATTTCTGGAATTCTTTTTGTACAAGTTTCTGTCTAGAATTTCATACTGTGACTTGCAGTACTTCAGCCTCCCTACACGTCTATCTCTGTTGCCTGACGTAAGCAAGAACACTGTACTGTGCTTTGGAGCTCATTCCCTGCAATGTGTTCCAGTTCTCTCCACATGGAAAGCTGGGACAATCATACATTTACATTTATTATCTGTTTCAATTAATTTTTGTGTATGGGATGAGGTAGAGATCAGTGTTTATGTGAATATCCAGTTGTTCTAGTACAATTTGTTGAAAAGACTGTCCTTTCTCCATTAAATTATGTTGCTACCTTTATTGAAAATATGTGTGACTATTTTTGGACTCCATCCTTTCCCATTGATCTTTGTCTGTTTTCACTCATATGCTGTACAGTGGCTTACGATATGAATTATGAAAGAGCTAATGGGTGATTTTTTCATAGAATAAATATGACTATATAATCTACTTTCAGAAAATGAATTTGAAATAATAGCGTTTCCACTAATATGAATCGTGTTAGGTTATCTCTTTTAACAATTGAATGAAGAGATTTATTGTGAATATACTTGTCTTACAGAGACCTTTTAATCAAAGTGAAATTTGGAGAAAGCATTGAGGACTTACAGACATGCCGACTCTTAATTAAACAGTACATCCCAACAGGACTTTTGGTGGATCCATATGAGTTGGCTTCATTACAAGAAAGAAACATAACAGAGGTACAGTTATTAGGGAATTTTTTTTTTTTTCAAGACAGAGTCTGACTCTGTCACCCTGGGTAGAAAATAAAAAGAGTGCCATGGCATCGTAGTGCACAGAAACCTCAAACTTCTGGGTTCAAGGAATCTTCTTGCCTCAGCCTCCCAAGGAGCTGGGACTACAAGCACCAATCCCAATGCCTAGCTAGGTTTTCTTTTTTTGGTAGAGACAGGGTCTTGCTCTTGCTCAGGGTGGTCTCCAACTCCTGAGCTTTTGACAGCCCACCACCAAGGGGATTTTTTTTTTTTTTTGGAGAGAAAGTAATTTCCAATCCATAATTTGGATTAAAGAATAGTAGAAAAGACAGCAGTATAGTGATTTTCTTCATTTTTTAAAAGTGTATAAAGTGACATTTTTAGAGGTAAAATGGGAATGTTTTTCAAGAAGTGAGTGATACTTGTTGAGAATAAGTTAACTAAATTGAGCTAGTTAAAATACATTTTGGCAGGATGGTCTATAGTTTAGTGACTAAGCCAATTATACATGTGTGTATGTCTTGACATCAGTAGTTAGTAAATAGTGCCTCAACAGCAGCTTTGTTAGTTAGATAGGCATACCCTAACATCTACATATTTTTGGTAGATGGGGGGGAAAAAACTAATATTTACGAGAAATCTATATGGCATTTTTTTAGAGGAAAGAAGGTAAAATTAAGCATTAAATAAAGATTATGTTCCATACCCTTTATATAAATTAATCTTTATAACAATCCTGGAGATAGTATATTTATTTTATAGGTAAAGAAAATAAGGTACAATGAGGCAAGTAACTTATTCAAGATCATGTAGGTAAATGGTAGAACCAAGGAATGAATCTGGGGTTGTCTAGGTGCAAAGTTGTTACACTTCTTAGACATGAATCTTGCCTCTTAGTTAAGAGTTTCCTCAACTTTAGGAAGATTTACCTGGGGGCACCTTTTGTACAGATTATTATCTTCCTGGGAAGTCCTAATTTTGTAGGTCTGGGCCCCTAAATCTGTTTTTAACAATCCAAATGATTTCTTTAAGAAATTTTGGAGGAGTGTATATTCAGGGCACCATGAGTCTGTTCTCCTGGGTAAAAAAGAAAAAAAAGGAAGGAAATAAATAAATTTGAAGCAGTGCTCGTAGCACAGTGGGTAGGGTACCCGCCACATACACCGAGGCTGGCGGGTTCAAAACCTGCTGGGCCAGCTAAAACAACAATGACAACTGCAACAAAAAATAATATCCAGTGTTGTGGATATTATTGATGTTGTGGTGGGCTCCTGTAGTCCCAGCTACTTGGGAGGCTGAGGCAAGAGAATCACTTAAGCCCAAGAGTTTGAGGTTGCTGACAGCTGTGACGCTACAGCACTCTACCCAGGGCAACAGCTTGAGGCTCTGTCTCAAAAGAAAGAAAAGAAAGAAATTTGAAAGATACTGTCTTAGTTCATACTATTATAATCTACATGTGAATTTTTCAATGTAAAATAAATACATTTATAGTTATTTGTGATTGCAATTTTTTTTTCTTTTTTCTTTTTTTTGTTTTGAGACAGTCTTTCTCTGTTGCCCTGGGTAGGGTGTCGTGGTGTCATAGCTCACAGCAACCTCAAAGTCTTGTGCTTGAGCAGTCTTCTTGCCTCAGCCTCCCAAATAACTGGGACTACAGATGTGAGCCACTACACCCAGCTAGTTTTTCTATTTTTTTTTTTTTCTAGTAGAAATGGGGTCTCGCTTTTGCTCATTTGTTCTCGAACTCCTGCGCTCAAGCAGTCTACCTGCTTTGGCCTCCCAGAATGCTAGGATTATAAGCTTGAACCACTGCAACCATCCAGTTATTTCTTTTCTTTCTTTCTTACTTTTGTTTCCTTTTTTTGAGACAGAATCTTACTCTGTTGCCCAGGCTAGAGGGCCATGGTGTCAGATTAGACCTGCAACCTCAAATTCCTGGGTTCAAGCTATCCTCCTCCTCAGCCTCCCAAGTAGGCTGGGATTACAGGCACCCACTACAATGCCCAGCTAGTTTTTGGTTGTAGTTGTCATTGTTGTTTGGCAGGCCCTGGGCCTGATTCAAACCCTCCAGCCCCAGTGTATTTGGCCAGCACCCTACCCGCAAGAGGTACCAAGCCACTTCAGGTGATCTCCAAGTGACTTCAAGTGATCTTCCCACCTTGACCTCTGAGAGGGCTAAGATTATAGGCCTAAGCCACCATGCCTGGACTGAATTATTAATATGAATTCTAAGTGTGGCTTTTCAAATTTAAAATAATAAGTTTCAAAATTCAGCATTTTTTGTCTTTTAATGACATGGGTTTGAATCATATTTAAACCTACTTAAGGTTGGGCAAGGTGGCTCACATCTTTTAATTCTAGCACTCTGGGAGTCTGAGGTGGGAGGATTGCCTGAGCTCAGGAGTTTGAGACCAGCCTAAGCAAGATTGGGACCCTGGCTCTACTAAAACTTGAAAAATTAGCTGGGTATTGTGGTGGGGACCTGTAGTTCCAGCTACTTGGGTGTCTGAGGCAGAAGGGTCACTTGAGCCTGGGAGTTTGAGGTTGCTGTGAGCTAGACTGAGGACAAACATGCTAGCCTGGGACAACAGAGTGAGACTGTCTCAAAAAAAAAAAAAGTAGTCAAGCAGTGACTGATAGTTGAAAAATACCTTCATTGGAACAGTGGTTTAATTTGATAACTTCTGAGTTCCTATGACTCATGAGATTACAGAATTCCTTGACTTTTGCCTATGAGTTCTGTTACTCCTGTAATTAACTAAAAAGGAACAATGTGAAAAAATATAGAATTTGATGTCACTGTCTGATTGGAAAATTAGGATACTTGCTGTGATGAGAAGGAGTTAGTGCTGGTTGTTTTCTATAAGGTATCCAGGGCTTTGCAGAGAGAATCTAAAGGGAAGTTGTGTGTGTATAATGCTTTTATGTATCTGTAGTATATATGTGTGTGTGTGTATGTACATAAATATGTATGCATATATGGATACAATATATAATAAATATACACATTATATCTCAAGACTAATTTCTGCCACATACATTTTCCCTTTTGGTGTAGAATACTGTGCTTATCTTAAAATGTGTTTCTCTTTCTTTTCTTTCTTTCTTTCTTTTCCTTTCTCCAGGTCTCACTCTTGTTCAGGCTGGTCTCGAACTCTTGGACTTAAGCAATATACCAGCCTTTGCCTCCTAAAATGGTTTTTAAATACTACTTTAGAAAAAACTCATTCACCACTTTTTTCCATTAACTTATGTACCCACTGTAGAGAGAATGCTGACATTTGCTTTGACTTCCTGACCACAAAGCTCTATCTTACTCAATGCCATCTCACTTGCTTCTCTGAAGAACAGGAAATTATCAGAATGATACCAATCATTTTAACTCAGTATGTTTAACTGTTTTTGTCATAATGCTTTTCATACTTACTGAATAATGCTGTTTTTATTCACACAATTTCTTTTTTCTTGGTACCTGTTTTGTCACCTAAATGGAGACTAATAAGGAAATTTCACAGAATTACTTTTTATTATTAGGAAATTTGGCACCCCAGACTATAATTTCTCCAATTTTCTTTTGGTAAACAAACTTTTATTAAATACAAATCACATGCTGTATTTTCTACTTAAAACTGAGGATAGAGGCGGGTTTGAATCCCCAGCCCGGGCCCACCAAACAACAATGGTGGCTGCAACCAAAAAATGGCCAGGCGTTGTGGCGGGCGCCTGTAGTCCCAGCTACTTGGGAGGCTGAGGCAGGAGACTCGCTTGAGCCCAGG